TGGTTGAGCATTGACCTATGAACCAGGAGGTCATGGTTCAATTCCTGGTCAGGAATGCCTGTGTTGTGGGCTCGATCCCCAGCAGGGAGCATGCAGGAGGCAGCTGATCAATGATTCTCTCTCATCATTGATGTATCTCTCTTTTCCTCTTCCTTCCTCTCTGAAAGCAATAATAATAAAACGTTACTCCCTATATAAAATGATCATCTATTTCATATATATGGCTTGACTAATTTAGGGTATGTTTGCTTGATTGCAACCATCCAGGGGAGCAAAAACTTCCTCACCCTTATTCTTGGATGTTCATATTTATTAAGTATGTTCTTACTGAGAATTATTATTGGAGAAACTCTATTCACTTAACTCTTTCAAACCATAAAGATAATGCTTAAGATTATTTAACCCTTTTAATACATTATACTCAGTGAACCAAAATAGCATAACATTTAACTATCAAAGATTCTCTCCATAATTGATGTTTTTATCTCTCTCTCTCCTTCTCCCTTCCTCTCTAAAATCAATAAAATATATTTTTTTAAATGAAAATAAAATGAGATAATAAGATAATGGATAGAACATTGTTTATAATATAATTTAGTGATATATAGGCTTTACTAAGATTCTGGACCTGGACTTGTACAAAACTGGTAAATATTTTGCATAAGAATATTGATTGCATTCTTTCTAAATAATCTTTGTGGTCACAAATGATGATAGCCTCAGAAGTATACCACCTCCTTTAAGGAAGGACATGCTGCTGGCAGTGGTCTTTAGCTGTCAGCTTTTTGAGGAACTGCTTCAGCTGCAGAGGGCAGCTTTGGCCAAGTTCATACTCTCCCCATTGCTCATTTCATTGACTGATCTAGGTTGGGATATCAAGGCCTGGCCACTCTGGCCCAACTCTAAAGAACCATTTTAACTTCAGAGCTCCCTGGGGAGTTGATTGAGGCTGCCATTGGGCCTACGTCTCAATTCAACTTTGCCCTCTCATAAATGTTGCTTCCTTCTCTTCCCTTCCAGAGGTATTCATCCCAAAAGAAATGCCTAATAAAATTAAAAAACCTGTTGTGATAAATCATCTCAGCTCTACTTCCTGGAGAATCCAACCTGTGACATCAATGTTACTTACATGTAATATATTGTACTTAGAATCCCATCTGCATGGAGAAAAAGAAAATGATCACAGGAGTGGCTTTTCGAAAACAAAATAAAAAAAACCCAACCCTTTTCAAGTGAAATATTAAGTGGAATCCAAATAATATATAATGTAAGAGATGAAGTAGAACTTGTCCTGGGGGAGGTGTGGATAAGGCTTGCTCCCAAGGTACTTCTACAAAATAGCTTGAGGGTCACATTAGAGATTTGCTTTTTTAAATATTACAGAAATTGGAGCACAAAATTTTATAGCTGGGAGGGATCTTTGAAATCATACAGAATAACTCTTAATTTTACAGATGGAGTAACTGAGGCCCAAAGAGGTTGTGACTTATCCAAAGTAAAGAAAAATTAACAGTGGCAGACAGAATTATAAACTAGTTTCCTCATTCCTATAGTCCATTATATAAATGTTTTCATTGAGAGTTTCACATCCTATTTCATTTATGTTCTTAAAGTAAAAAACTTTTAGGAATTCAAGTGAACCAACAAATGTAAACTATCTAAATATTTTTTTTTTGGTTTCTATTGTGTTTAAAGATGAAATATTTTTAAGCACCGGTATATCATATTTAACATTAAAGTTTCATATATAGTATGCTCTATTTTATAGTCTACTTATATGTATTTTCCTATTTTTATTGTGGTAAAATACATATTAAACTTACCATGACTCTATTCTCATTAAACAATAATTCCCCATTTCTCTCCTTTTCCAAGCCCCTGGCAACCAACCATTCTACTTTCTGCCTCTATGATTTTGACTACCCTAAGTACTTTATATAAGTGCAACCATACAATATTTATCTTTGTGAGTAGCATATTTCACTTAGCATAATGTCTCCATGGTTGTCCATGTTGTAGTACATGTCAAGGTTTCCTTTCTGCTCTAGTTGGTTTGGCTCAGTGGATAGAGTGTTGGCCTGTGGAATGAAGAGTCCTGGGTTTGATTCTGGTCAAGGGCACATGCCTGGGTTGTGGGCTTGATCCTCAGTGGGGGGCATGCAGAAGGCAGCCGATCAATGATTTTCTCATCATTGATGTTTCTCTCTCTCCCTCTCCCATCCTCTCTGAAATCAATAGTGTGTTTGTGTGTTTGTGTGTGTGTGTGTGTGTGTGTGTGTGTGTATGATTACATTTCTTTTTCAAAGCTGAAGACTATTCCATTGTATGTATGTATCACATTTTGCTTATCCATTCATCCACTGATGGATAGTTGGGTTGCTTCAGCTAATATGAATAATGCTATTATGAACAGAGGTGTATAGACATTTCTTTGAGATCCTGTTTTCAATTCTTTTGGGTATGTACCCAGAGTAGAATATGTTAACTCATTCAATGTTTTATTTGAAAAGGTTTTTCCATTTTCTTCCATCATATTTCCTCTATTTCATAATAATAATAATAATAATAATAATAATACATTACATAACTTAATTCTACCTGACAAACATTTTTTGTGTGTGTAACAAATAAATTAACATTTATTCTTCTTAAGTGATTGCACCAGGAAGGAAAAGGTATTAAAAGACTCACATCATCACAAGTAAGCTCTGCACTAGCATACCAAAATGAAAATGAAAACCCTCAATGAGTTTGAGATCAGGGTCTTCCTTCTTATTGATTATACCAGTAGCATCTTTCTTCTAATTCTGAGTTCCCATTTAAGAGGTCCTAGAGTAAAACAATCCAACAGAATGTCTCTTCTTTTGCTATCTATATCCATGGAGCCTTAGAGGAAACAGACAGAGCCAGATGTCAGCATCCATCAAAGCTCCTTCCAAAAAGAGAGCCTCATCGAAACTGGTTTGGCTCAGGGGTAGAGCGTTGGTCTGCGGACTGAAAGGTCCCAGATTCGATTCTGGTCAAGGGCATATGCGTTGGTTGCGGGCACATCCCCGGTAGGGGGTGTGCAAGAGGCAGCTGGTTGATGTTTCTCTCTCATCGATGTTTCTAGTTCTCTCTCTCCCTTCCTCTCTAAAAAATCAATAAAATATACAAAAAGAGAGCCTCGCAGAACCTTCTTTTCTACCCTGCAAGTATATGATCACTTGCCTGTATTCAAAGAAGGCCAGTTGGCAATGCTGGACTCATAGCACGTTTCTGCGTTTGTCTGATATCACTCCTTTCCATGGCTTTCTGATAATCTGGGTCCTTGTTGTCTTTCTGCTCTCAATTGACTCTTCACATAGTTCACCAAACTCTAAACTCTCTGACCTTTCCCCTCCTTCCTTGAACATACAAAGTTCTTTTTGTCTCTAGTACTTTGCACATGTTGCTTTCGGACTCACCTCCATTTCTCACCCCAAGTTACCTACCTTCCACTTGTCCTTAAAGTTTTAGCTTAAATGTCACTTTATTAGATAGGCTTTCCACTACTCCCTGCTAGATTAAATCCTCCTTTTACCCAGAGCAAGTTTCATAATTACATGATATAGTTATTAGTATGATTATTTGCTTAATCTCTCCTACAGATAATAAGCTCTATGAAAACACTATGTCTGTTTTATTTCCTCTGTATCCACAGGGCCTACAATAGATCCTGGCACATAATAGAGGTCCCCACCAGTATTAGTTTAAAAAATGAATAAGTTAATCAGTTCAGAAAATAAATATATATCTCTCCATTATTCATAGCCAGGAACCAATATATTTTTTTCCTGCCCTTCATCGTTACCTGCTTAATTTTCTTTTCTTCCCAAGAATAATGCACAACAAATAGAAGTGAAAAAATTCTTTAATATGCTCTCCCACTAGAATGAGAATGTGATTGTTGCCATTTATTAAAATAAGTACATATACACCTCAAATATACCAAATAAGGCCCTAGCCAGTTTTGCTCAGTGGATAAGTGTTGTCCTGTGGACAGAAGGGTCCTGTGTTCAATTCTGAACAAGGACACATACCTCGGTTGCAGGCTCCTCCTCAGCCCAGGGCCCTGTTGGGAATCATGCAGGAGGCAACCAATTGATGTGTTTCTCTCACATTGATGTTTCTCCCTGTCTTTCCCTCTCTCTTCCACTTTCTCGGATAATCAATGGAAAAAATATCCTTGGATGAGGATTAAAATATATATACCTAATAAGAACAAAATTATAAGGAATTTTTTCCCTCTATAATTTCATTCTGTGAACTTCTTCCTTAAGGTCACTCAAAACACTTTTGGGAATTCCTCCAAAAAATTATTAATAATTCTGTGAAACACTCATGTTACAGAAATTGCTTTAAAAGAAGCTTATTTTTTTATAAAGTATTTTAACTCATGAATAATAATAGACTTGTATGAAATGAAACTCTTCAGTCGGAAAAGTAAAGTAAAAATAAAAAACAGAGCCATTCTTTCAAAAGTGAGAATATAGTATTTAAGGTGACAGAGAACCAGTCTTAGAAGAATTAGAAACAATAAATACAAGAAACAACAGAAAAGAGTAGAAAGTGCTTCTAAAACACATAGTATCTTGGGAATATCCATTAAGAAGCATACTCTGCAAAAGCATTCTTCTAAAAGGGCACACCCAAAGGTTTTACACAGGAAATTTTCAAGGTCTGCAGTATTAAGGTTATTGGTTTAGAGAGGGACTTACTGGTTTCTTTGCTTGGAGATTTGTAGATTTTAAAACTTTTACTTATAGATGGTGGTAGACTTCAGAATAACAAGGAAAGGAAGATAAAGAAATAGGTACAGATGTAGCTTACATGGTCATTCGTTACCTTTTTACTATAAAAGAATGTATCCAGTGTTAAGTTTAGTCCCATGCGTCAGTTGTAAAAAATGCTAAGTGACCTGAGGCAGCTTAACTATGATTGACAAAGCCTAGAGCTCTGAAGGGGAGTGTGACACCTACCTTCTTATGCACAACAGAGGAACTGGAATTTACTGTGCTTTCGTCATCATGCATCATGACAAGTTCAGAGCTGCTCTCATCCATGACCTCCTGCATGCTATTCACACTGCTGCTCTGGCTGCCTGTGCTCACAGACATGCTTGGGATAGAATGGTTGCTCCCCAGGCTGTCCACTTCCCTGCTCAGGCTGCTTCCATGTTCGCTGTCCTATAAAAATCGGGCATCGGGTTAAAAAAAAAAAAAAAAAACATGACTGGAGATAAAGCGCCAATCCATTGACTAAGCTATTAAGCACACTCAATTTTGCAGTGCCAGGTTGCTTTTCTGCCAAATCTGCAAAGATAAACTTTTTATGTAGTGGCTCCACTACTCCCCCACTATTTTCAGACATCTCAAATTCACTCTATGCCTTCCCCAGGGGCCATTCTGGACATGAGTCATAAGGCTCCTAATGCTGCTATCCCTGTCATATGCAACTAGCATACTATTGTATTGCTATTTAATAAGCAGAATCAGGCCAGGTTTGTAAGACAACTCCAGGATCATCAGGGTGCTAGAGAAAGACTGCAGGCGACAGGTGACCTCTAGGATATTTGCAAATACGGCAGTGGTCACTTGAAACTAAAATAGAATAAAAAGAGTTTTCAGAGATTTGACAAGCAACATACTCCTTTGCAAGTCATTACTGAGTAACTTCATGGCTAAGCAGGGATATTATTAATTCTACTGTCCTGGATAGGTAATTAAATTCTGCTTCCCTTAAGCAATTCTATCATGCTTACTTCTGTAATCTTATTAAATATATCTGTTAAATAATACTGGTATTCATCACTACTAGTCTAAAGACTACTATTTGAGAAGTGGTAAAATAATCAGAAAATATAATTTATCCATCACAATGGGATATCTTTTGATATAAGATTAAATAGTATAATTAAAGCAACTTAGTTTCAAATAAACCCTATTTTTGAAGAAGCATATGTACATATATAATTTTAAAGAATTATTAGTTGGCAATGTAGGGAATCACTGGCATAGGTAGGTAATGGGGTAATTTAAAATGTTAGAAATACATTATATTTTTAATAGATTTATTTTCCCATTTAAGGAGAATCATTTGTATATATGCAATCACGAGAGTTAATTGTCCAATTCAGCTTTCTGGATTTTATTTTATAATTATTGATGTAATAATTTTGTTTTATTTTATATCAGAAAGCTAAAATAAGATTCACCATTCCTTTCCTCATTTTGATCGAGTTTTAGATAGACTAATCCATTCTCAAATACTCTTGCTCCCATCCTAAGCACTTCCAGAGACCCCACTTCTTTAACTATATCTCTTCCCTCTATCTTTGATGCCTCTGGCTTGGCTCCTTCTGCCTGCATATAAATCTAAAAAGCTCTGCCCCTTATTTATGTGCTTCTTTACATACTGCCCTTTGTCACTTTTCCTTCTCAGCCATATTTATAAATCTTAAAACATCCAACTTCTGCTGTCTCTATTTTCTCATTTCCCATTTATTCTAAATAGTAATTTTTCTATTTATCTTAACTATTCTTGCAAAACTGCTTTTATGAAGGTCACCCAGAATGCCCTACTTGTAAAACACTTAACATTTTTTTCTGGTCTAACTTGACCTCTCGGCAGCATCTGATGGCACTGGCTGTTCCCTCCTTGAAACTGCACTCTCTTAACATCTGCGAGGCCTTTTACCTCCTGGGTCTTCTTTTTCTTACATGGAATTTCCTTCTACAATCAACTCCTTGATTCATGATAATTTTAGAGCTCTTGACACCCAACCAACTTCTTTATTCAGACTTCTTTCCTATGTACTGGATTTGTATATCCCAACCAATTGCTAGACACTGTTCAAGTGTTTCGATTGTCATTACCCTTGTCCCAACGAATCCTTCTCAAGTTATTTGAATAAGAAACCAGGAAGTTCTCTCTCCTTTGAAAACTCCATCTGTATACCATGCCAGTGGTATATCATGCTTGGCCCTTAAACTCCACAGGCAACTAACCGAAATAACCTTAAACCTACTCATTCTCCGTGGTTCCTTCTGTTCTTGGTATTGATATACCCATTAAGGTCCTAGCATTATCAAATCTACTTCTACTGTGTTTCTCAAAAGTGTTTCTTGTTCCCATTCCCTTTGACACTGCCCTTTTTTCTTTGTGCATGAACTAGTCACTCAATAAAATCCATCTTACAATCTGTTGGTAGGATAATCTTTCTAAAGCATAGCACTTTCCTGACTCTAAAATGCCCTGTGCCCTTCTGTCAGAAATCCCCCACATCATGTTCTCATACAACCTTCACTAATCCCTACCAGCAGACTTATCTCCTCACTATGGACCCCTGCATGGTGATATACTTCTAAAACATTTTTCAAATTTTGTTTTATGTAAGAGTTTTTTCATAAATGTCTTTTTTGCAACCCTGTGTCTCTTAAGGCAGCGAGCATCCCTTACCTTTTTTATCCCCAAAAGTGTTTTTTATACTGCCCAGTCTAGACTTTTTCACAGAGTTGGTACTCTATAAGTGCCTGCTAAAATAATGGAACCTACTTCTTCATCCTCCTGTGATTCATGCAAAGGTCCATTTCGTGTCTCTTGGAAAAGGATTTTTTTCATTTTGCGGTATTGTAGGTTATCTAGTTCACGAACAGCATCTTTTGTCCTCTGTATGAGGTCAATTAGGACACGTAGTGGCCGATCTCGTCGGACAAAGTCATGCTAATTGAAGGAGGAGAAAAATAGCAAAAAATAATGATGAGAAATATATGTTTAGGTGCAAGATGTAGACATAGTTGTAAATGGACATAAAATGGTTCTATGGCTTTTGCAGAAATAACGATATGATTTTCATTCCATGTAGTCCTTCATATTGTATTAATCTTAAAAAAGATAAATATAATTAATGCTTTTTTCTTCTTCAAGTCCTATTTTGTGGACTTTGTTCTAGAGTTTACTTGAGAACTCTTGATATTTACTTTATCTTACAGCTAAAAACAATGACTATAATTTTAAATAGCAGCTGAGTGGCTTATAACTTTCAAATCTGAAGCTATAAAGTAAAGCAAAAGCAATGCAGAGTACATACTATTCTTGTAATAATCTGTCTAAATCCTCCTCCCCATTCTACACCACTGTTGTATGTATTTTGTTTTCTATTTTTGTGGCCATATATAGTGTGTGACTGAAAATGTGATAGGTGTTAAATTTATTCAGAGGTCAGAATCCTAAAAACGTCATCTCCCCTTTGCAGAGTTGTACAACAAGGAAAAAGGGAGAAGGGCCTCCGAGGAGTGAAAATATCTGCCCTAAAGTCCATAAACTTTCCTGGGCATAAGCAGCCCTCATGTTCAATACTGTCAATCATCTCTAACACATATTCCAGTTTCCTGCTTTCTCAGCCTAGAAAGAGGGAATAAAAGTGGGAGAAAGAGCCAAAACCGGTTTGGCTCAGTGGATAGAGCGTCAGCTTGCGGACTGAAGGGTCGCAGGTTCGATTCCGGTCAAGAGCATGTACCTTGATTGCGGGCACATCCCCAGTAGGGGGCGTGCAAGAGGCAGCTGATTGATGACTCTCATCGATGTTTCTAACTATCTCTCTCCCTTCCTTTCTGTAAAAAATCATATAAAAATCATAAGATATATTTTTTTAAAAAGTGGGAGAAAGAGGATTGGGACCTGGAAGAGGTAGGGATATTTGCTGTAAAATAAGTGCACTTTAAAAGTTCTCTGACAGCCTGACAGTAGAGAAAGAAATTCCATGATTAACACACCTTCCACCAACCAAATGAAAACGAACAAAGGTTTCTGGGCTATTTGAAAAGGCGCAATGCCCTCATATAGTTGTTTTATACTCCAAGAGTTTGCAAAGCACTACTGTTTTTGAGCTACCAATAAGTTAAATTATGTTCATTATACATTCTTTAGAACAGTGGTTGCCAACTGGTGGTCCATGGACCACTGGTGGACTGTGAGTTCCGAAAGGTCAGCGACTACTGCTTTAGAAGGTAGAGAGGCATATCTTATATTTTAACACAGAAAGTGATCAAAAGTGGGAGGAAAAGTTTTGTTTTTTATAGAAAATGGTTCAGTTATATGGAAAATTCACTTATGTGAAATTATAATTTAAAGATATTGGGAAAATGAGAGAAATGTGGTAGGCCTTAGATGATGGAATGGATTTTACTTCTTTGTAAGTTTAAAAGGATATAAAGAAGGAACAAAACCATTGTGAGAGAAAAAAAAAATCTACATGTCCTGTGGTTCTTCACCCTGACTTTGGTGTTAGGAAAACTGTGGTTTTTGCTCCTGCTTTTATAACATATCTCTTCCTCTGCAAAGAGTCCTTTCTGAAGATTCCCGGAAGTAAGTATAGCCTGCACATTTCAAGATGAGAACGAAAGGGAAAAAGGAAATTATTTTGCTACTCCTGTGCTTTCAATTATACAAGAACAAATTGTTTTTTAGTAAATTTGAAGCTATAACTTAGGGGCAAATCTGAAACTTTATAATAAAACAAAAGCAATGCAGAGTTTAGAATATTCTTGTTAGAATCTTCCTCAATCCTTCTCCCCACCCTCTTGTGTGTATTTTGTTTTCTAATCCTTATATAACAGCAGCTTCTGCCATTCTTTGTCCCTGTGTCTGCTTTATTTTTCTATAAATAATTTACCACCACCTGACGTTATACCATCACATATTTATTTGTTTTTATACTCCTTCATTAGAATATAGGTCCCATGAGTTCAGGCTATCATATTCTTGTGTACATTTATATTATTTTTAGTGCTTAAAACAGTGCTTGGTACACAGTAGATAATCTATAATAAAAGCATAATATGCTAATTAGACCGGACGACCATCCAGATGAAGCCGGGGCTACAAGGGAAGCGCAGGTCAGGGGTGCCTGCCAGTGGCTGCAGGAAAGCCTGGGTCCTGGGTGCCAGAGGGAAGCCCGGTGCTGGCAGCTGAGGGGAAGGGAGGCCTATTCTTATATGAATTTTGTGCATTGGGCCTCTAGGTTAGTAGATATTTATTGAATAAGGGGTGAGGCTCATTTGATTTGGCTCACCATCTATATTATAAAAACCCAGTGGCCCTAATGCCATAAAGATCAAAGACCGGTGAGGGTGGCTGGGGCTGCGTGCGCGGGAGGGCGGGGCTGTGAGCATGGCAAGGCTGCACGATTTCATGTGCTGGGCTTCTAATATCATATAAAGACCAAATCAAACCAAATCAAGTAAAGATCCAAACATTTACTGCCAAAAAAGTTTTCTTCAGGTATATCTTTAAACATCCTCTGCACCACGTGTTTTGCTTTGTTCTTCAGGAATAATAGATTGGCCTATGTTAGATCTCTTTTGTCTTCTGTATGTGTCATCTTTTCTATAGTAATCTTTAGGATTTTTTTTTTTTTTCATTTGCCTTTAATTTTATTTCTCTAAGACTATCTACCACGGGAAACACCCTAAGTGGACCTGCTTATTATATTAGTACTAGAGGCCTGGTGCACAAATTTGTGCATGGGTGGGGTCCCTTAGCCTGGCTGGCAATCAGGGCCAATTGGGGCTGTCTTGCCCAGTCCTGATTGGGACTGGCCGGCTGTCCAGGAGGAGAAACTACAGAAGGTTGGCCAGCCACAGGAGTTTGGCTTTAGGAGTGCACTGACTATCAAGGGGCAGCTCTTGCATTGAGTGTCTGCCCCCAGTGGTCAGTGCACTTCACAGCAACCGGTCAAAATAGTTGTTTAAGCTTTTATATATATAGACTAGAGGCTTGATGCATGAAAACTCATGCACTAGAGGGGAGTCCCTCAGCCTGGCCTTCCCCCTATCACAGTGTGGGAGCCCTCAGGGGTGGGAGGTGACCCAGCAATCAGGGGAAGGTGACACCCCCATCACACCTCTGCTGCTGCCACTGCTGGCAATGCAAGCCTTGGCCGGCCCTGGTTACCTGAGCCTTGGGTGACCCTGGGTGGCTGGGCAGCCACCATCAAAGGCTTGCCTGCGCGTTGGGTGTTGGCTGAGCAGCTGCTATCTGAGGGTTGCCTAAGCCTTGGGCCAGCCCTGGGTGGCTGGTCAGCTGACATCCGAGGCTTGCCTGTACCTTAGGCCGGCCCTGGGCAGCTGGAGGGCTGAGGGGACTGGGGCACTCTGGAGCTGAGGAGACTAGGCATTGCCATCTTGTGGCTCTGCTGCTGCCATATTGGAGGGTGTGGTGGTCAATTAGCATATTCTCTCTTTATTAGATAGGCCTAGAGGCCTGGTGCACAAAATTTAGTGTCCCTCAACCCACCTGCACCCTCTCCAATCTGGGACCCCTTAGGGGATGTCCTGTGGGATCGAGCCTAAATTGGTAGTCGGACATCACTCTCACAAACCGGGATAGCTGGCTCCCAACTACTCACCTGCCTATCTGCCTGATTGCCCCTAACCGCTTCTGCCTGCCAACCTGATCACCCTCTACCACCAGCCTGGTCACCCCCAACTGCCCTCCTCCGCCAGCCTAATTGCCCCAAACTGCCTTCCACTGCTGGCCTGATCACCCCTAACTGCCCTCCCTTGCTTGCCTGATTGCCCACAACTGCCCTCCCCTGCCAGCCATCTTGTGGCATCCATTTTGTGACCACATGGGGTGGCCATCTTATGCGAGGGAGTAATGGTCAATTTACATATTACCTCTTTATTATATAGGAGGATATATTATGATTTTAATGTTATGTTTTCATTTTTCTACTTCATTTCTTTCTTTACTTCTGCCCACTTGCTTTTTATATCCCTTTCTTGCCTATTACCTTAAAATTCATCTTTGAATCCTTGTAGTATATTTTTCTTTGAGCTCCCCCCCCCCCTTAATTTTAATACAGTCCAAAGTTTATTACTTTTTCCCTTTATGGTAATGCTTTTCATGCCCTTTTAAAACATCTTTGCTTACTTCAAAGTAATAAAGATACCACTTTATCTTGTATTATGATGTTTTGTTCTGGTTGCCATTTTTCCCTCTAGAAATATGGAGCTGTTGCTAAGACATATAGACTAGCTCATATCTAGAACATGTGATGGCTCCACACCAAATGAGAGTTAGGTAGAGTTCTCTGCCCTGTTACTTCTGTCATCATTTTCCTATGGCCTATGACCTACAAGAAAAAAAAACACTTACTTTTGGGTGGAAAAACTAGTCCACTTCAGACCTACCTCTTCAGAAACACTAAAAGCCAGAAAAATGATAAAGAAATGTTTACAGAGTTCTAAGAAAAAGAAATGAAAACCAAGAATTTGTGACCTAACCAAAATTCTCTTTAATTACAAAGGTGGCCAACATTTTTAAGTCACTAATTTAGGCAATACAATCCTTCAGAGTTTTTGTTAAAACAAATAAGAATGGAACAACATGCATACAGAAAAAGGTTGAAGAAATCTGGGCTATTTTGTGGCAAAGGAAAAGGTATTTATATTTTAAAAGATTTCCACATATTTCACTAATATAGACAGGACATTTCACCTATGTATAACTTCTATAATAAAATGTTACATGAAAAGAGATGCTCAAATATATGATGTTTAAATCAAATGAATGCAGTTAACATAGTACTTTTGTCATCAACATGGACGATGGAATGCTATGCTAACTTCACTGTCTGAAGATTTGGCAGCAACTTAAGTGAAAATCTCCAAACCATTGGCAGAGTCTGTCCTGAAAGTCTGTCCAGGTATTAGCTATAGAAATATCACAATAATGACCAGAGCAAATAGAAATCTTCTTTGTCAGAAGTTACAAACAGAGTTGGATGTAGGGAATACACGTATGGCACATACATTGAGATAATCTTGTTATTTCTATGACTAGCTCCTATCTCTGGATAAATGACAAGGCAGCACCTTCTAATCCAGTTTGTCATGAAGAGCTGCTATAGGAATGATTTACTATGTTCCACTACAACTTGACTTTAAATTTCCCTCTTAAATAGAAATTTGAAAAATTATTTTATTAACCAATGTCACTCCCCAAAATTCAACAAAAATACATACATACCTAAGTTTAAAAGATGAAAAAAAGAAAAACTTACCCGTAATAGTTCTGCTGACGTAGGTCGTTCCTGAGGTATTTTCTGTAAGCAGTAATCAACAAATATTCTAAAAGAGTCAGTCCTGTGTGTACAAATACATTAAAAGAAAAAATGTCAAGGTTTGTAGAACACATGGCTTACTTAAAATTATTTTCATTCCAGGGAAAATTTTACATTATAAAATGTTTAATAAAACATTTTTGGAATATCAGGATAATTAAATTTTCAAGTTTATGATATCTAAAATTAATTATTTTGGCTAATGAATGTGGATAATTCAAGTTAATCAACACATAGACTTTTTGGGGGTTCTTTTTCTTTCTTTTTTTTTAAATTAAATTATTATCTGTGTAAATATTGCCCTTCCCCTCTCATACATAACCTCCCTCCCAGAGTTTTGTGTCCAATGGTTGTACTTATATGCATGTATACAAGTCCTTCAGTTGATCTCTTATCTCACATAGACATTTTTTAATACATGATCAAGGTCAAATCATAACATATATCAGGAAGTAAAAATACTATATTTACATGTAATAGTTTTAAACATATTTTTATCCCCAAAGATGATAATATCATAAGTCTCAAGCCTGTACTCTTCATGACCAGTTGGTAACGCCTCCATTACCCACAACCTAAAACCAGGTAGTTGAAGCATAAAACTCAGAAAACCTAGGAATATGCTCCCTGGATGAAATACTTCCTATCTTGAAAATTCCATTTTGACTACTCTTCTTTAAAATTGCCCTTTTTCTAAAACTCTGTGGCCCAAATAGTTATCAAAATGTTATAATGCCTTAGCTGATTTGGCTCAATGGATAGAGCATCAGCCTGTGGACTGAAAGGTCCCAGGTTCAGTTCCAGCCAAGATTACATGCCTCGTTGCAGGTTCGATCCCTAGTATAGGGCATGCAAAAGGCAGCCAATCAATGATTCTCTCTCTTCGTTGATGTTTCTATCTCTCTCTCCTTCTCCCTTTCTCTCTGAAATCAATAAAATATATATTTTAAAAAAGTCATAATGGCCCTGGCTCAGTGGTTAGAGTATCAGCCTGTACGTGGAAGGGTCATGGGCCTGATTCCGGTCAAGGGCACATACCTGTGTTGCAGGTTGCATCCCCATCCCAGTTGGGGAACATGCGGAAGGTAGCCAATCGATGTTTCTCTCTCTCTTCCTCCCTACTCCCCCAACTCCCCTTTTTCATTCTCTCTAAAAAAACAATGGAAAAATATCCTGGGGTAAATATTTTTTAAAAAGTCATAATGTTCAGCAAGGAACATTACATTTTTGGAATCTATACTAATAAAAGCCTAGGTGGCTCCTGTGCCCTTGCAAGATGTCTTCACATCATCAAAGATGGCCGCCCCATGTCATCACAAGATGGCTGTCAGGGGAGGGCAGTTGGGGGGATCAGGCCTGCAGGGGAGGGCAGTTGGGATGAGATCAGTCTGGCAGGGGTGGGCATTTAGGGACAAGTGGGCCTGCAGGGGAGGGCAGTTGAGGGCAATTGGGCCAGCAGGGGGATAGTTGGGGGTGATTGGGCCAGCAGGGGAGCAGTTAGGCATCAATCAAGTCAGCAGGGGAGTGATTAGGGGACAATTAGGCTGGGAGGAAGAAGCAGTTAGGCAGGCAGGCAGGTGAGTGGTTATGAGCCAGCAGTTCCAGATTGTGAGAGGGATCCCAGATCAGCGAGGGTGCAGGGTGGGCTGAGGGACACCCTTCTCCCCCATGCATGAATTTAGTACATAGGACCTCTAATATAATATATGTTCTATCTCAGTAGATTTAAATATACATATAGTAAAGAAATGACACCTGGAAAAATAATGATATCAAAGGGTACTTTATCTCTGTTTAGAAGTGATAAGCACTGAGATGATCAATACAAGACTGTCTTGACTTGAGACTCTAGTTGTTAAGAAGGTATTAGGGTATGTTTCCTGTAGAATTTCAGTTACTATCTACACACTTTAAGAACACAGTACAAGCCATAGTGAGGGCAGAAATAAAATATGTGTGTGTGTGTGTGTGTGTATGTGTGTGTGTGTAGTTAATGCCAATGTCACTCTATAATGTATGATAAAGAAATGAAATGGGATGTGAGGATAATCTGGCTGCTATATCTGTCACTCCATTGATCACCACGGTTGATTCAGCTGATCTGGCTGGCTAGGCGGGTGACCCTTCCTCCCTCACTGATCCATGTGCATCCCTCCCAAAGCTGTGTGCTCCGTGGAAGAGGACAACCTTCCCCCTAAAGGAGAGGACTGGTCTTCAGTCAAGGGTATATGAGTAGCAGCGCTCCCCTGCTAGAACCTCCAAACAAGCTCTCAAGAAATTAAATACTTTCCAGGTTCGATATTTAAAATGAAATGTAAGGAAAGTGCCAAATACATATGGCAATTTTTTTTAGAGACTTGAAATTATATAAGATCTTACCATTCATTAGACTGTAATGTTGGGGAGTCATTCTGGGCAATGTGATATAAGGCACTCATTGCATTCATGTTGAAAAGAGGGGGCTTCCGTTCCGCTGAAAGGAAACAAAACATGATAAAGCAGCTCTTGAAAGAAATTGGGCAGATAGGGAAATAAGAAACTATGGGCAAAGCTTTGCTGCTAAACTGATAGCTTGTTACTGTCATCATGCCACATAATCCACTTATTTTAATAGCTTTGGTCAACCTAAAAAAGCCATTCAAAAGAAGCTGCTGAACATCTTAATATACATTAGCAAAGCTCCTAACAGATCCATTCTAGAGAGTGAAAATATTTTATTATGTTTTTCACATATCTTCAAAAGGCTAGTCTTTGCCTATCTTCTCACAATGGGTCTGAACATCGTGAACTTTGAAAAAGGGGCTATGTACAAATCCTGACAAGTTCAGGGGGTCTGACAAGTTCAATGATCAAAAGTTACTACACAGGATGATGATCTTGTCATAAACTACTAAGTAGGCAGGGCATGGTGGGTCAAGCCCTAGGCCTACAGCTTCCATAGTAAAAGTGAGCCTTGTCCACTGTTCTTGTGCATCTATATTGTCACACCTTCGAAATGCCAGAGTAACCTTCCCTTCTAGACCCCCCTAGAAGTTTAACCATCCTCACAAGAGCAGGTACACCAAAACTCTTATCTTATTGCCCCCATACCATTGTTATTTACTGGAAATGTTAACTAACCTATATCCACCAATATACTAGTAAAAGAAGTATGTGTTTCTACATTTTGCTTATCAGAGATTTCCAATACCAAAGATTTCCCTGCTTTGTTTCATTCTGCCTCCTTAATCTACCACCAATGGGTTTCATGTAACCTTCCTTATGTTTTCTCCTTTGATTCTAAATGTATAAAAAGAACTGCCAAACTGCCATTCTCTGGAGCATTTTCTAAATCCATTGGGATTTTGCTTCTGGGCATATCCTCAGTTTAGCTTAAATAAACTCTAATAAACTCATAACATGTTTCTATAGGTTTAGACATTCTTATGTCAACAATATCATGTAGATGTGTTTCAATTAAAAAATGCGTATTGATTGAAAAAATTCAGAAGGCACAGAAAAGTAGAATGAAAAAAAATTATAAAATGGAACTTCTTTTTTTTTTGAGACACACACACACACACACACACACACACACACACACACACCAATGTGAGAGAAACATCCATTGATTGCCTCCTGTATGTGTCCTGACCTGGAATAGAATCTGCAACCTTTTGGAGTAGAGATGATGCTCTGAGCAACTGAGCCACCTGACCAGGGCATAATAAATGGAACATCTTAAACATCACTAGCACAGTATGAGAAATAAAATAATTCAATTCCATCAACACTGTTTGAAGGATCATCTAGGCCAGGGAACTGGTATGGGTTGGGGTTGAGGGGTCTGGGAGAGAGGAGGAGGAGAAGAAGAAATAAACAAGGCCTGGTCCATCCCATTCTAAAGAGAAGCTTAGTGAACCAAGTATTAATGGAAGATTTGTTCTGTCAGAACCTGCCAGATCTTTTCTCTGGAATTCCTACAGTTCTCTTTTAGTTTACTGTTCATTTGGCATGTGCTCACCTATTGCACTTACAAACACTTTTTTAAAAAGACAAGCATAAACTCTAAGATCTTATAACTCTAATACTTCTATTATTTTATTTATTTCATGAGAATATGTAATAAGGTGCTATTTACATATCACGTGCTCTATTTGTTGACCAATGGAAAAAAACAAGTTTCTAGCTCTGAGTACAGTTAATTTTACCCCATTTAGTAATTATTATATCATAGGAGATAAATCATTATCTATTCTACAGTATTTATTTTATGCTAATGGATTCTTTATATAGGCCCAGTTTGTAATTTGTCATCTGATCTCTAGTTTCATCAGGGCATTTTGTTTTTTAAGCAAATATTCTCTATTAACCACTTTTAAAATGGTGAAATAGAGAGTGTGTGTGTGTGTGTGGGGGGGGCATTTAATAGAACAGCAGTGTAGACAATAAAAATAAAGTTTAAAAATGGTAAGACAGGCTTATTCTATGCAATTCTAAGAAACAGAACAAGAACTAAAGGCAAAAGTAACAGGGAATACTGCCCCCCTCAACCTGAAATGAACAATGTTGAGAGTAGTGAATTGTAAGTTATTGGTAGTGCTCAAGCAGAAGGCAACAATACTTATTCATCTGGGATACTTTGGAGGGGCTTCTTATAGTCTTGACTAAATGATCTCTGACACCTTTTCAAAGTGTCTACAAATATTTATTAACCTCTCAACAGGATAGTTTATACTCACCCAATAACTACCAGTATTATAGGGACATGAAATCTTAATAAGTGGAAGTTTGAAAGTTGCAGTATAGATTCATCGAATTATATGTGTTTCTAATGTAGAAGAGAAATAACTGGTTCAGGTTTGTTTTATTTTCCAGGAGATCAATTCTAGAAAGTTTCTAGAGCTTGGCCTTTTGACAACTTCCAGTATTTAAAGCTATGTAGAACTAGGATCACATCATGTAACTTTAGCTTTCCATCATTCTTAGGACAAAATCCAGATCCTTAAACATAGCTTATTGACCTTTATGAAGATGACCCTGGCTAGCTCTCCCACTTCAGTTTGAGAAGCAATCTCCGTCCCTTCTCTACCTCCTCACGTATCTTTTTTTTTTTTTTTACTGAAAGAAGCAAGTTCATAGCCTCTCACACATGCTGCTTTCTCTGTCTGGACTCCCTTCTCTTATTCCCTAAAGTTTATCTGGTAATTCTGGACAATCCTTCAGGGTTTTTTTTTAATTTTTAAAATTTTTATCTTTTTATTGATTTTTTACAGAGAGGAAGGGAGAGAGATAGAGCTAGAAACATCGATGAGAGAGAAACATCAACCAGCTGCCTCTTGCACACCCCCTACTGGGGATGTGCCTGCAAGCAATGCACATGCCCTTAACCGGAATTGAACCTGGGACCCTCCCGTCCGAAGACAGACGCTCTATCACTGAGCCAAATCGGCTTCGGCAATCCTTCAGGTTTTATCTTAAATATAATTTCATTTCTGCATTAATTTAATAAATATTTACTCCAGGGTCATTATATGCTTATGATCACTTCCAAAAGGAAGCCTTTCCTGACCTCTCAGACTAGGTTTCCCATTAGATTTTGTCACTGCAAATTATATTTTTCCTTTCTACCACCTATCACAACCATAACAAATAATTTGTGTAATTTTTATGTGATGTGTGTCATGTTTGCTAATGTGTCCATGATAACAGGAACAACATCATTTATGTTCATCTCTGCATTTCCAGTGCTGCACACGTATGTGGTATTTATTCTTAGTGGCCAAGATGAATAAATGTAGATAAGGCAAATTAAGGCAAAGAGAAACTTTATCAATTAAGAATCTTTGTGCAGCGTGAAATCACAAAGTGACTGAGAAGAAACCAAGTCTTGGGGCTTATATCAGATACTGTGGGATGGCTTCATTCACTATCATGATAGGAGCCTTCTCACTCACTGGCAAAAAATTTAAGCCGCTCAGAAGAGAGAAATAGCAGGGAGGGGGGACTAAAGAAAACAGAAATTTAGGAAGAAGACGATGAAAGGACAAAAACAACAAAACCCAGTTCGATGCTGCTCATATCTGAAGGAGGAATGGGGAACACCTGCATGTAAGTAATGGGCACTCTGTCTGTAAACAAGACAGAATAGTTGACCTCACAATGGCAGAGCAGTTCTAGCACAGAGAAGTGTATGATGAAAGGTATTCCAAACACAGGATAGCTCTATGATCTAGTTTCTGAGAAGCTTTCGCTAAATATTAATTTCAGATGGCCTCACATCTGTTCAAGTCCTCTGCCAGATGCAGCACATAAATCCTCTGAGTCATGGTGACAGGACTCATTGCTAATCCAGAATACTATAGAACAGGGGTTGGCAAACTATGGCCAAAATTCACCTAACAGCCTGTTTTTGTAAAGTTTTATTGGAACACAGCCACACCTATTCATTAATATATTGTCTTTGGCTGCTTTCATATTATGTAGCAGAGTTGAGTATTTATGATAGAGAAATGTATGGCCTACAAAGCCTAAAGCACTTATCTTGTCCTTTACAGAAAGTTTGTCAGCCCTCACTGTATAATATAACCAGTGGCCTGGTGCACGAATTCCTGCACATTGAAAGAAAATTAATTAGAATATTTTAATATCGCTATTCACCCTTTCTCTATAATAGAGATGTCAACCAAATTCATGATCATGACAGATCGAAACACATGCGATTGGTGCCAGTGGTATATATATATTTGTTTAATTAGACCTGCTTTCTGACTTTTTCCAGCCCAGTGGAGCACCCCAACTTCTCTTTCAGGTAACTGCCAGCAACACAGCAGTAAATATCAACATGAAGCAGAGTATTATTATAGATCACACAGGGAGAACAAAGGGTAATCTATTTAACTGCAGCAGTGTTTGACTACATTCTGTTCAGAGAGAAAACCTGAAGTCATTTTCAAGGCCCACTATTTCTTTTTTCTTTTCAGTCAGGTCAAGTTTCTAAGCTTTCTAAATCTCCATTTTCCTGCTAATGAAAAGAAAATAGAATTCCCCTGAGTCTCCTATCTACCTACTTCAGGACTCCTGTGAAGATCAAAAGAGAGGAGGCATGGGAAAATGCTTCACAGACGTTTGGTTAAAGTGTAAAATGTTTCCACCTGGCTATAAAGCAAGTTATATTCCCAGGCTGAAGAAACTCCAAGGAGGCTAATCACAAGGGAGAGGAAGGAAGTCTGGCGTTGCTATGTCACATAATTACCCAGTGCTTGCAGCCACTATTTCTGGGCTATAGGTCGCTATTTGCACCATGAGGTCTCAGCAGCATTGGCTGCAATTTGGTGGGCTGTCACTCCAGAGTGATGGCAGGGCCTGTGTCCCACTTGGGGGAAGCTGAGTGGGCACCAGGTCCATAGTGCCATTTTTCTGTAAATGGCCAGTGCATGTCATGGCAGCTCCTGTGTTGAATGTCTACCCCCAGTGGTGAGTGTGCATTATAGTGAACGGTTGGACACTTAGCATATTAGCCTTTTATGTATATAGACTAGAGGACTGATGCATGAAATTCGTGCAAGGGGCTCAGTCCCCACCTGCTGCAGTGGCCTGGGGCCTCTGCCACGTCTGCCTCGGTCTCCATCTGTGACAGTGGCCAGGGGCCTCTGCCTTGGCCCCACTGCCATGGCTTACGTTCAGAAGGATGTCCGGAAGGATGTCTGGTCTAACTAGCATATTACCCTTTTATTATTATAGACAGTTTGCATAGGAGCTTCAACATAAGCAGCAGAATAGAAACTGGGAGTGCTTTTGAAACGACCTTGTGATAGGTAATCACAATCTCAAAAGAAAGGAAAAGGGTGGTAGCATAAAAAAGCTGAATTAACTAAATTAAAAAAAATAATGATTTCTATTAAATTTAAAGACAATGACCAAGCTCCTATGGATGTTTCATATGTGTTTTATGAGATTAACATTCAGGAAGATCAATTCAATTGAAACCTTTGGACACTGCTCCATTTGGCAAAGTTTATGCCAAACTGTAGCACCTAGACTGAGCTTTATTCTAATAAGAAAGATCATGCCTAGCTGGTGTGACTCAGTGGATTAAGTGCCCCATGCACCAAGAGATGACTGGTTTGATTAAGTGGATTAAGTGCCCCATGCACCAAGAGGTGACTGGTCCAAAAATTTTTCAAAATTCATGCATTTAACTAGTTCTTTCAGTAGAAGATGGTATAGATTTTGGTACAGTGATTCTTCCATCCAAATTCTATTTCTTCAAAATTGTCTTGGCTAGTTTTGGCCCTATTAATTTTAGGACTACCTTGTCAAGTTCTACATAGTATTGCTAGGACTTCATCATATGTCATTTATAACATATGCACATATTTCTGAGTGCCACCAAAAAATAAGTCTGAATAAATTGAAGGAATTTATTTTGCAGTGAAAGGGAGAATACAGTATTACAACCTAAAAAGAAAACTACCACCTCAATATCCATTAATAGACAATCAGTTAAATAAATTATAGTATATACATAAAAGCAATTTTCAACTATTTTAATCTCATGGCACACACAAACTAAATATTAAAATTCAGTGGCACACCAAAAAATATATTTATTGCAGATCTAAAAATAAAGTATATTTTGATTCATTCACACCAGATGGCTATTGCTGTGTTGGCTGTTATCATTTTTTTATTTGACAATCTAAGAGAAAAGAGGTCAGTGGCCCTGACTGGTGTTGCACATTTTAAAAATTCTTGTGGCACACTGGTTGAAAATCGCTGATATAAAGGAATAACCTTATGCCATTAAGAAATGAAAAGGATGTCTAAGTTACTAATATGAAACAGATCTCCAAGATATTACAAAGTAAAAAATCAAAGTGCAGAATCACTTTTATGTTAACGTGGGGGCGAAAAGGAATATTATAAGTATACATTCAAACTTGTTTGTATACTCATAAAGGAAGTCTAGGAGGATATACAAGAAATTAATAACAGTGGTTCCCTATATGTATTGGCAGAGGTAGGGTAGAATTGGGCTGATAGTATCATAGGAAAGTTCTTTTACTGCATGTTTTTTACTTTTAATATTATTTGATTTATAAATCATGCTAATGTTACTTAGTGGGAAAACAAAGTAAATATTCTAACTTTCCTCCTTGAATTGTTTCATTTTTCATTAACATATCTTTAATGTAAAAAAAAAATGACAAATTGTATATATTTGCTATATATATTTAAAATATATATATATATATTTTATTGATTTTTTACAGAGAGGAAGAGAGAGGGATAGAGAGTTAGAAACATCGATGAGAGAGAATCATCGATCAGCTGCCTCCTGCACACCCCCCACTGGAGATGTGCCTGCAACCAAGATACATGCCCTTGACCGGAATCAAACCCGGGACCCCTCAGTCCGCAGGCCGACGCTCTATCCACTGAGCCAAACTGGTTTCGGCAATTTACTATATATTTTTTTGTTGGAAAGGGTCAAAGAAGCAATTGGAAATGCAATACAAAGTATCCCAAATCATCTTTATAGAGAGGAGAAACATAGCCTGAGAATAAACTGGATCTCTGAAATTCTTACAGGATCAATTTGGATACCAGAATAGAGAAAATAAAACAAAAAAATTACAATCTAAATTTTAAAAATCAGAGTAAATATTTTTTTAAACTGATTTTTAAAATATTAAACATTTTTTATTTAAAATGTATATAAATAGCCCTACCTGGTTTGGCTCAGTGGATAGAGCATTGTCCTATAGACTGAAGGGTCCTGGGTTCGAGTCCTGTCAAGGGCACATGTTCGGGTTGTGGGCTCAATCTCCGTAAGGGGACATGCGAGAGGCAACCGATCAATGATTCTCTCATCATTGTTGTTTCTATCTCTCCCTCTCCCCTCTTCTCTAAAATCAATAAAAATATATATTTAAAAAAAAACAAAATAAAATGTATTCAAATGTCTAGATAAAGGCAGTGTTGTGCTTCAGCCAACTCACACTGGCTTTAGAAGGTCAACTGTTTCCCCAACTCCACATTTAGTGAATCAATTGGTAACTTGAAATTGGCTATAGTGGGAATATTTACACCATGGAAATTGGCAAATGCTACAAATTAGATATTTTCATATCCCTCCTACCCTTCAAGAGTCACTGGTTAAATTTACTGGTATACAACTGAATAAAGGTAACTAAGATATATTAAAATTCAAAACATATAACCAGAGATTACTTGGTATTTTAATTAATTTTAGGTAACTGAAACTATTTGAGGAACGACTTTAAAGCTGGCAGGTATCACCCTAGCTGGTTTGGCTCAGTGGAAAGAGCATCGACCTGTGGACTGCAGGGTCCCAGGTTTGATTCAGGTCAAGGGCACATGACCAAATTGCAGGTTCAATCATGTGGGGAGAGGGAGACATTCAGAAGGCAGCCCATCAATGATTCTCTCCTCTCTCATTACTGATATTTCTTTCTTTCTTCCTTCCTTCCTTCCTTCCTTCCTTCCTTCCTCCCTCCCTCCCTCCCTCCCTCCCTCCCTCCCTCCCTCTTTTCTTTCTTCCTTTTTTCCTTTCTTCCTTTCTTTCCTTCCTTCCTTCCTTCTCCCTTCCTCTCTGAAATCAATATATATATATATAATAAACTAGTAGTATCTTCAAAGTTTTCTCTAGGATTCCTCTCTTTATGGGTTGGGTCAAATACTAGTACAGTTTTTAGAGTCAGATCTTTGGTAAGATACTTTTACTTTTGCAAATGTCCCTTAAACAAGTTGGGATATAAATTAAGTAACAAACATTACATGAAGAAAGGACATATATTCCCACATATAGTATGGAGAATGGCTATTTTTCAAATAGTAATACTTATCATGGATTCCCACATTGGTAACTGCCATATCTGCTCAAACTTTTACTTAAATTAATAACTTGAAAATGGACCAGAGAGAAAGCAATCTTCCCCACAAGAACATGGGGTAAATATAATAAATTCACATTGCCTGGCACATGCATACTAATAACACATTGAACAATGGCTGGATGAATGAATTAACAATCATAATAAGGAGTGAGTCTCAAAAAAATACAATGAAAGCAAGTTGTACTTACCCAGTTCAATACAGGTGATCCCAAGTGACCAAATGTCAACTTTCCCATCATACTGTCCTTCGTCCATAGCTAAAATCACCTCTGGAGCCATCCTGCCAAAAATAATGTTGTAAATTAAAAATTAAATTTACTTAATAAAGTGATTCAATGGAATAACTGTTTTGAGGGTGTTCTAAAACTTTTATCTCAAAAAATAGTACTTCCTCACACAAGTCATTTGGAAAAAGCACTATTCAAAATGTAAATAATATACTTAGTGATTTACATGAAATAATACATTATTTTCAATAAACTCTGTTTTCACTATTTCCTTTAAGTTTGATTTTAAGTAAGTTACTTAACCTTTCTGTATATTAGTTTCTTCATCTGTAAAATGGAGAGAATTCTAATAGCTACCTCAAATATTAACAAAGGATTAATATGTATGAAACACTTAAACAAATAAATTACTTTAAGCAACATGAAAAATATTCCAAAGATATTGCAACTTAAAACCAACCAACCAAACAAACAGACTGCTATAAATGTTACTTTGTGCATAATAGACTTTCATTAGGACAGGGGTCATATCAGTTTAATATGCTTTGTTCTTGCCGAAACCAGTTTGGCTCAGTGGTAGAGCCTCGGTCTATGGACTGAAAAGTCCCAGGTTCGATTCAGGTCAAGGGCATGTACATTGGTTGTGGGCACATCCCCAGTAGGGTGTGTGCAAGAGGCAGCTGGTCGATGTTTCTCTCTCATCGGATGTTTCTAGCTCTCTATGTCTCTTCCTTCCTCTTTGTAAAAAAAAAAAAAAAAAAAAGAAAAAAAAATCAATAAAATATATTTTAAAAAATAAAATAAAATAAAAAACATTTAAAAATATGCTTTGTTCTTTAGTAGTGTATGTAAGTAGTTGTTTAGCAAATGCTACTCGATGATGCTGGAAAAAAAATTTTCAAACAGCTAATTTTTTTGATAGATAAGCAATTTTCCAGGGATATAAGTCATTCTCTAAGGTACAATAAAGTTCTAATGCATCTATGAAAGGAAGGAAAGGAATCTTGAATAGAATGGGGTAAAACTAAGTCAGGATGATAAGCTAGGTAAAGTATCAGAGAATTCAGCAAACAGAAGAACCTGGATTTCTTTCACTGAAAGGCAGTATTTATGCTCACTGGCTAGAGGAGGTTAAAGAAGCTACCCTTCTTGCCTAGAGACTCTGCCTCAAGAGAAAAGTTGAAAAGAAACTTTAAATGAAATCTAAAACCTGAGCCCGGACAGTGTGTTGATAATCCTGCTCAGTTTACACACAGTGACATCAACCTTATTTGAACAATTTAAAACAACCAGAAATTTAATACCAAGTCAGAGTGTTTCTTTTTGCTAATGAGTTTTCTACCCTTCTGTAATACTTAAGAGACATGGTGAGACACTGTCAAAATAGCAGAGCAAAACCTTGTTCGTGGATGCATTTTTTAGAAACTATGTCATGCTCTCTAATTCTACATACCAGTAAGGTGTGCCCACAAAGGAGTTGGCAGGAGAAGCCATTGAAGCAGATCCAAAATCAGCTAGTTTCACCTGACCTGGCTCTGTTAGAAGAATATTTCCTGCTTTAATATCCCTGTAGGAAAAAAATAAGAAGGTTAGAAAATTACTTTTCAATTTTGATTATGGAATAAGGTCAGAGCATGCAATTAATAAGACAAAAAGTTTATTTTAAAAAACCTTGCTCGGGTAGCTAAAAGGGGACTTAGTAATTACTGCATGTTGTAAGGGGGGCCCAGATACCTGGGTGTACTTATAGATAGGTCACAGTAATTACACTGAAAGGGAGAGCTTTCTTCAGAGGGAGAGAAGGCAATGAGGAAAAAAGGCAGTTATGGCAGACAAGGAAACCTGTTCAATTGCTACACTTAGAAAAGCATATTCTTAGATGCTAAATCCAGTCACCAACAGTATTCCTTGTGCTGGGGAAATTGGCTCCATTTGTAACTGCCTTTTTCCCCCCTTTTCCAAATTACTTGACATTTTTTGAAGCCTAAACAACCTTCAATGACTCTGTATTAACTACCTACCAATAAGCCTCCTCTACACACATACCTTTTCTTTCTTGCCTGTGACCCTTTCTCTCTGCCTTTAATTGTAACTGCAACTCTAAGGCAGTTGAGGGTACATGTTATATAGAAGGTGTTATTTTAAAAATAACACTGTACAGTAAAAAGAAGACCCTGAAAGATCAAAACAAACAAGGATTAGGGGTTAGGAAGTTGCATTTATTGTATTACTGCAAAGAATTGCAAGTGGTTACTATTAAAGCTATTAGATATTTTATGCAGCAAAAAGATTTTAAAATATAATTTAAAAATCATTTTCAGTATGATAATTTAGAATGATAAGATGTGGATGTATTTTTTATTCTCTTTTTAAAAGGTATGAGGTGTAATGAGTAGTATGAACCAAGAATTGTAAGTTGATGGGCAGTGAAAAGATAAAGCAGAGAGAATGAGGTAAATTTATGTCAAATGGAAAATGATAAGGTTCAAATACTTCCAAAACAACGTTTCCAAAAATCTTCCTTGAAAATTCAGTTTCTTTCCTCATGATGACTTAGGGATTGGCAGAGAGAACTAAAAAAAAGCATTATTTATTTCTTATAACAACAACAAAAAATGTTTTCTCTATTATCTTCAATTATAACATTGACTAGCTAGCCTCTTAAATCAAAATAATAAAATGAGACATAGACAGCATTTATTATTAAACAAATAGCATTCTTTAAAAGTTTTTGTTCTTTCAACTTCTTTTACATATTAAAAAAGTTAAAGTATAATATAGAATTAACAACACATTAGTGTGCAGATTAAGATAACAAAGGGAAAAAAACCCTGAACTTTGGCTTTAATGGGAACAAACAAAATCATAAACAAGTTAGCATTCCATAAGGACACACACACACACACACACACACACACACACACACTTAAGGCCTGGTGCACAGATTCATGTACCGGTAAGGTCCCTCAGCCTGGCCTGTGGGGATCGAGCTGAAACTGGCTCTCTGACATCCCCCAAAGGGTCCTGGATTGCAAGAGGGCACAGGCCAGGCAGAGGGACCCCACCAGTGCATGACTGGGGCTGAGGAAGGACCGTGGGAAGGCTCCAGGGCATGTCCTGCCTCCCTTGCCCAGTCCAGATTGGCTGGACCCCAGCAGCAAGTTAACCTACTGGTCTGAGTGTCTGCCCCTGGTTGTCAGTGCGCGTCATAGTGACTGGTTGAATGGTCAAACGAACGGTGGACACTTAGCATATCAGGCTTTTATTATATAAGATTTTAATGTGTCAAATCTATAGAAATTATGGCTCAATTTATTTCATCAATATTTATTATACATAGTTAGTCCTTACAAATTCACAGCAGAAATTTTGGTCTGTCCATCTTGAGAAAGTTCTGCTTTTTTAGTAGCAGTATCTTGTGGTGACTATTCTTATGTGATTAAAACAGAAAAGGGGAACCTATGACCTAATAGTTTCATTTCTTCCTAGCAAATGTCAGTGTTTTCCTTTGTTTTTGAGCCACCTAAGTTACTTTATACATAACTCACAGTCCACTACTTCTGCACCATTCATTGAAGTAACTGTATTAGAAGTTCTTTGCTGAGGAAGGAAAATATTAGAAACAACATCTTTGTTTAGGAGAAGTTAGCAGTGGAAAATAGAGTGGGGTTGTGGTAGAAAAAAATTACAAGGTAGGGGAAAGTCTTGGATTAGGAGCTAGGAAATTTGAGTTTTACTCTTTATCATATAAATGCTGTGAAACCATGGGCAAGTTATTTAAATCTTTATGAGTCTCAGTTTCTTCATCTGCCAAAACAAAGACAACAAAATACTATCCTAAGTATTTATATGAATCAAAAAACAAAAAACATTTTAAAGTGCTAAAACGGCATGATTTATATAAGATAGACCTGTTATTTATAACTGGAAGGGAGAAGCAACTGAGCTAGGAAATAAACAGAGGCAAGAAAGATTCATTTTCTTTTCTTCTTGACACAGTATCAAAAGGTTGCTGAGCTCTTCTTCCCTGAAACACCCTGCCTGGAGAATAGTTGTAAGTCTTTGTGGATACATGGGAGAGACCAGGAGATAAGAACTAAATTCTGGCAACTTTACTCTTTAGACCCAGAAGCAGCAGCAGTCAGTTTGTCACCCATAAATCCTTAGGCGCCCTAAAAATTGGAGCATGCACTAATTTTTAAGATTCGTTGAAGAGATATTCCTATTGCTGAAGTGAAAATGTAACTAGTCTCTAATCTTACCTATGAATCAACGCATGAGAATGCAGGTAGGCTAGCCCCTGCAAGGCACCATGAGTAATGGCAGCGATCTCCACTTCCTGAAGTGGTTTCTTGTGAACTGGGGAAGGAAAAAACATTCAGGAGTACATGATCAGTTTCATGCCTCCTTTTATCTTATACAACTATACCAAACTGAATTACAGACTTTCTCAAATGACACACTGGAAGCACATTCATCTAAAGACACAAGACATATATTTTCTACAAAACAGCAATAAACAATCAGAGAATAGAAAACTGAAGTATAAAAACAAACAAACCCATTCAAACAAAATAAAACAAAGCCTGATATTTATGGTAATGAATTATTAATTTATTTGTCAGTTGCAAGTCAGTTGGCCAGGCCCAAATTTACTAGTTTCTTCTGACATTATAACTCTAGAGTGTTTTAGGTGGCATTATTCTTCTCTGCTCCAAAGCCATCTATCTCACTCCTCTAACTACAGGTTTTCAATATTTGTGAAAGCAGCTAATAAGCAATTTCTACTTAGAGATTAAAGATATTAGAAAGTTTTTTAATGTAAAATTTTAACAGTCTATGGTTAGAATAGCATCTGTGGAAAACTGGGACAGTCAAGATATTTATAAGTGTTAAATATTAATATTTAATTTAATTCTACCTACCTCTCTTTCATACATATACACAAATTTAATGTTTTTGGCTGCATATACTTCATCTCATTAGTAAACATTTTAGTAGTACCTGCCCAAGATGAACTATGAACTTAAAAAAACACACGAAAAAAACAGTAGGAGGACTGCTAATCATTACTCAGACAGTTTTGGTGGCACCACAAAGTTTGCACAGATTATACACACAAGCCTTAAGTCTAAGTCATCATCTATGTGGTTGGACTTTAATTTAGAAGCAGGTAACATTCTGGTCAAGGTAAAACAGAAAGGACCCCACCTGTTTTGATTCTTACCTTCTAACAAATCAGAGGCTGAGCCTAAGCAATACTCCATCACCAACTGTAAGAGATTAAAACAATAAATAACCAGAACAATGAACAAGAAACTGCTAAAACCAACTGACCAACCCAGAACCTAAGAATACCAGAAGAATAAATACCCTGGCCTACCTGCCCCTGGATTCAATTTTGGTCAACTGGCACTAATTGATTTTTATAATTTTTATCATTTGTTATTATCTCGTACTTGGACATGGAATCAGTCTAAAACTCTAAGGGGACTGGGTATGGAAATACTGACTGGAAATGATCTATTTGAGATCTCCAACTTAACTATTTACTACTACATTCTACATCATCTTGTTTCAAAAAGGGATTTAAGGAGGCTTGGGCTATCTTTCAAATTAAATTTTATAACTTGGAAACTGGCAACCAAATACATGAGCCAATAATATCTATACTAGGAAATAGAAGTTAAATAAAATAAGCCAATAATAAGTAGTAAATTCCTAATTTTCACATTTAAAAAGTGTTAAACAGCTCTGGCCCAATAGCTCAGTTCATTAGAGCATCATCCTGATTTGATCCTCTGTCAGGACACATACAAGAATCAACCAATGAAGGTATAAATAAGCGGAACAACAAATCATTGTTGTGATATCTCTTTCTCTTTATATCTACCCCTAAAATAAATCAATACTTTTATTTAAAAGTGCTAAGCAGGAAAATATTAAATATTTGCATCTATGGGTGAAACAAGATAATTTACTTCCATCTTCATTTAAAAAGAGAAAAAGAAAATGTTGTTTATACTCAACCTAAAGATGTTGCTTGTATCATTGTATAAGCTCAAATTCCCCAGGATATGAGATATTTAAAGTAATTTGAAAATAATATTATTAAAATGTAATTGATATTTGCAATCTTGGGATGTATTTTAAAAGCAAAAATGAGAAAACTTTCTTTATTTCCATCTTAGATTTTTTAGGTGTCCCAGACTACTGATTTGTGGCCAAGGTCAGAACTGTGAGTGCTCAGTGACCAGTCTCCACATACACACACAAGCATACATACTCCTACAAATCATTTTGTTATTCTAAAAAATGCCATATGCTCATTATAAAATACTAATTTCCTTAATTACCTAGACATAACCAATATTAATACATTTATTCCTTTCATTTAAAAATTAGTATAAAACATATATATATATGTATATATATATTTCATGTACCTTGTATTATCGAAATAACTCAGAAGAACATGAGGTAATATAATGTAATAATTCTATATTATATGTAATAGTAGAAGCCCGATACATGAAATTCGTGCAAGGTATCGGTTCCTGCCTGCTGCAACTTCATTCGAAAGGTTGTCCGGAAGGATGTCTGGTCTAATTAGCATATTACACTTTTATTAGTATAGATTACATACCAATCTATCTCATTTTTCTAAATTATTCTAGTAGCAATGCAATGCAATGTACATAATACATGTAGTGATATATGTCATATACTATATACTGTATAATAATCAAGTTATATATCTCTATACCTAAATCATTAAATTATGCATATTAAATATGTGAATATATAAATTAATGTATTGCTAGAATAATTTAGAACAATATGAGGAATTTAAAAGTTTAAGGTTTAGAAATGTAATTATAGTTTTCAGCTTAACATTAAAAGTAAGGAGATTTAGCCTTAGCTGGTTTGGCTCAATGGATAGAGCATCAACCTGTGGACTGAAAGGTCCCAGGTTCGATTCCGGCCAAGGACACATGCCTAGGTTGTGAGTTTGATCTCCAGTAGAGGGTGTGCAAGAGGCAGCCAATCAATGATTCTCTCACATCATTGATGTTTCTATCTCTCTCCCTAGCTCTCTCTGAAATCAATAAAATATAAAAAAGTAAGCAAATTTATAAACATTAATTTCATTTATTATGAAATGAGAGTCCACATAAGTGATTATTATAATGAAGGGTAGCCTTTTATATGCATTATTTTTCAGCTCTATTAAGGTATAATTGACAAATAAATTTTGTTCTTTAATGAATTTTAATGGAAACATTTCTCAATTGTATCTGTACTTTTCTAATTTCTTTTTTTAAACAAGAGGGGAAAAAAACAATTTAGTACACAAGCACAGGAGAATCATGATGGTCAAATTGTAAAATGAGGCTCCATACTTCAGCTTTCACAACTTCTTCCTTATGGTCAAATTTGTCTGTGGCTGTTTGTAGGTATGTCTCCAGCAGCTCAGTTCCTAAAACTTCTCCTAAGTAACCTATCAAATCTGTTGTATTCAGAGACCAGGTAACCAAGCTTATTAGCACTCTGTGTAATCTAAGAATAAATAGATTTCAAATAAGAGCTCAGAGGATTTTTCTGAAGACCTGAACTCATGAGATTGAACACTCGATATTGTAACATTTATCCTGCCTGCTCAAAATCTCTTTCTTGACTCCTTCAAGATTGTTGCAATTGCCAGAGAACTGATTTCCAGATCATGAGAAATGCCTCTGATTAATTTCACCTCAGATCAGAAACAATGGCTCTAGATATCTTAAGAGTTACTTGATCAGAAATGTTTAAGTATACTGTTTGATAGTCTATATGGGAACAAAAATTCAATTCCCTAAGTGGAGATCATGTACAGGAAAGGACACAGTTCTGGTGAGCACTCAATAAATGATAGTTAAATTCGAGTTTAAGTTAGAATGTGCAGTCTGAATTAAGGTACAAAGTATAACATTTTATATACTGAACAGTGCTCAACAGAAACACAATCATGCAAAAATTACACTAAGACAGAGTGGAACAATAGATTGTTTCATTTTAATTATTGCTTGGCCCTGTTTGGTAAAATTTAGGCATTACAAAACCAAGCATAATTCTGAACTATGCAGGAATTGGAGTGGGGAATGAAAAATGTCAAAGATAAAAATTCTAGAATGAGGATAGAAGGTCCTGCCCTTTATTTTCATAAATAAATCATAAAATCATGTTAACTTTCACCATTTCTTCAATGACTGTTTATAGAATGCAATTTCCCACAGGCTAGCTATCATTCTTACAGAATATATAGCATATGGCATATTCTAAAGCATTAACAAATGTTAAAGGCTAATAACAAAAGTCAAATGGGGTTGATAATTTTAGAGATCAAAGAAATAAGAGAAAAAAATAGAAAAATAAATAAATAATAGAGGTCCTTTGACTTACCCAAGCAGTGTGCTCTTTCAAGTAACAACCTTTGTACTCAATGGTATTAGGGTGCTTCAACTGTCGTAAAAATTTGACTTCCTTAAGAATATCTTGCCATTTCTATTGAAGAAAGCAAACATGATCATTCTAAAGCTTAAAATAGTATTTTATTATCAAGTACACATACATCACGTTCTTTTTATTTTTTAAAGGAACAAAGTAAATGTTTAATAAACGAAGAAGCCATTTAATCTTATGTTGCTTCTTTAAGTTTGAATACATTAAATGTAAATCTAACATCAAATATATATTTAAATCCATTGCACTAACCCATCTATTCCACAAAACAGTTGACTGAGTTAGAATATTAGGAATGTTTAGTGTATGCTCCAGTAGGAGGGGAAAAAAGAATTGTGTGGCTCGTGTGGCTCAGTGGTTGAGCATTGACCTATGAACCAGGAGGTCACGGTACAATTCCCAGTCAAAGCACATGCCTGGGTTGTACCCTCAACCCCCAATAGGGGGCATGCAGGAGGCAGCCAATCAATGATTCTCATCATTGATGTTTCTCTCTTCCTCTCTGAAATCAATAAAAAAATATATTTTAAAAAAGTTTAAAGAACTTTGTTTCTTCTGTCCATTTCATATTAACTTACTTATGTCAGTTTAGGTAATCAACTATCTTTAACTTACCTCATGTGTCTGCTTCCCACTATAAGACATTTTCTTAACTGCCACCACTTCACTGGTGTGAGCATTTGTGGCCTATGTTAAGACAGTGAAGAAAAGTAAAAAAAGAATGAATGATATTTCAGCCAGTTTAACTTAAATAGTTGACTAGAGAATTTAAATAACATTCTCACACTTCATTATCAGAATTTAAAGATAATCCAACTTTTGATAGGTTAGGTAGACATTTTACAGAACAGTTTATCTTAATCCCTTTCTGTATACATGCAAAGATTACACTATAAAAAATTAGAGTTTAATAAAACATATTCATTCAAACAGAAACAAGTCATATTTTCAAAACTGGCTTCATCATATAGAACTTCCATCAATAGAGAACCAGTTAAATAAATATGGTACAGTTATATAATGAAATAACCATTAAAAGGTGGGATGAATCAAAAACTCTCACACAATTATTTAATTACAATTGTGATAAATGCAACAAAGTACAAGCACACGGTGTTAGGAGATCATTTAAAAAGTCTGAATTTAGTGCTGGAGGGCTGAACAGGAAAGGCTAGCCTGTGGATTTAACACTTAATCTGAAATCTGTAGGACAAACAAGAGTTAAAGAGGGCAGGAATGCAATGTGCAGCGCTTTCTAAGTAGGAGCATATAGAAAGGCCCTAAGGCAGGAAAAAGTGTGGCATGCAATGGAAATGCATAGGGCTCAACCTCAAGCTTATAACTTTTTTTTTTTTTTTTAATTTTATTGATTTTGTACAGAGAGGAAGGGAGAGAGATATAGAGTTAGAAACATTGATGAGAGAGAGTCATCAATCAGCTGCCTCTTGCACACCCCCTACTGGGGATGTGCCCGCAACCAAGGTACATGCCCTTGACCGGAATCGAACCCGGGTCCTTTGAGTCCCCAAGCCGACGCTCTATCCATTGAGCCAAACCAGTCTCAGCAAGCTTATAACTTTTTAATATGACCTTGACAGCAGTCAGTTGATATAGATACCACTGACTTGAATAACACCTAGATTTCTGGGACTGGCTTTTCTGCAATGACTATTTGCCTCTACTGGAAATACCATTTAATTTGTAGAATAGTCATTAAAGCTAGTAAGTGTATTTTTCAAGTAATAGAATGTGTAGAAGTCAAACTTTCTTAATCTGATCTATCTACATGATTCTTTTCCATTACTTACAAAATAAACTGCTCCAAAACTTCCATGTCCAATCTCATGTAAACCGATAAAAAGTTCTTCAGGATCATCTTTGTAGAACAGATCAGCAATCTCTGGGTCCTTTGGCACCCCTTTAGGCATGATGACCAGTACTTGCAAACGTTTTGCTTTCGATATCCCAATCAGCTTTATCTCTCATTGACAATTTTTTGGGGGTAAATTTTTAGTACCTGTAGAAAAATTAAGTTTTACATGACCTTATTTCTAACACATTTTGTTGGGTGGCAATACAAATTGATATTAAAAAGCATCATGGTCTTATAACTCTGTAACAAAGACAAGTAACTCAAAAGAAAAATGGGCAAAAAAATTGAACAGACATTTCTCTAAAGATATGCAAGTGGCCATTAACACATGAAAAAACATTCCACACCATTAGTCATTAGAAAAGAAAAATTAAAACAAGAGATACCTTTTAATACCCACTATGATGGGTATTATAAAAAAGTCAGATAATAAATATTGGTAAGAATGTGGAAAAACTGGAATTCTCTCACACTGTTGGTGTGAGTGTAAAATAGTGCAGCCATTTTGGGAAACAGATAGGCAGTTCATCAAAAACTTAAACACAAAGTTGCCATTTGACCCAGAAATCCTAGTCCTAGGTATATAGCCAAGAGAAATGAAAACAGATGTCCAGATAAAAATTTGTGCATAGATACCATGTTTCCCCGAAAATAAGACATCCTTCAAAAATAAGACCTAGCACATGGAAAGATAAGACATCCCCTGAAAATAAGACCTACCGCAACTTTGGGAGAAAAAATTAATATAAGACACTGTCTTATTTTGGGGGAAACAGGGTATTTATAGCAGCATTATTCATTATAGCCAGAAGATGGAAACAACCCAAATGTCCATTTGGTGAATTGAGTAAAAAAATGTGGTCTAAAAAATATGTGGTCTATCCATACAATGGAGTATTATTCAGCCATAAAAACAAACAATGTACTGATACATGCTCCAACATGGATGAACCCACTAAACATGCTAAATGAAAAAAGCCATATATTGTATGATTTCATTTATAAAATACTTCTAGAATAAGTAATCTATAGATACAAAGTAGGTAACTGGTTGCCTAGGACTGGAGAAAAGGAGGGTTAGTGGGGATAACTAAAAAATATGGACTTTCTTTAAAAGGGTGGTGAAAATGTCCTAAAATTAACTGTGGTAATGGTAGTACAACTGTTAATATATTAAAACCCATTGATTTGTATACTTTAAATGAGTAAATTATATAATATAAAAATTATATCTCAATAAATCTGTTTTTAAAAAGCGTTTTGGTCTAATTAATACTTAAATAATAACAGCTAACATTAATTAGCCTTATTATGTATCAGGCAACACTAAATACCATATATATTATTTCTGTTAAACCCCACAACAAATCATAATGTAAGACTTTATTGTTTTGATATTATGGAATAAACTAAGACTAAGGTGAAACCACTTCCCCATGGTCAGGAACCAAGTATTTAGTCTATCATATGACATAGTGATCTATATATTTCTAGCAAATGGTGATCCACAGTACTCAGCTTTATTCACAAAATATTCAAAAGTTTAAAATACATTTTGGTGATTAAAAAGATTTTAGTTCTCATAAATTTATTTCATAGATCTTTCTGTTTTTCCTAAAGGAAATCTTATAGTATGTTTTGTTCCTCTTTGTAAAAGCATAATCCATAAAAGAAAAAATTAATAAATTAGACTTCATCAAGATTAAAAAACTCAACAAAATGAACAATCCAATTTTTTAAATGGGAAAAATCAGAATAGACATTTCACTAAAATAATGAACAATATAAACTTATGAACAAAAATAGATCCAGAGACAGAGAAACATTGATCAGACCATTAAACCTCAGAGAGAAGGTAGGGGAGGATGCGGGTAAGGGAGAGAGATCAACCAAAGGGCTTATATGCATGCATATAATTAATACTTAAATAATAACAGCTAACATTAATTAGTCAATGGACACAGATAACAGGGGGTGAGGGCATGAATGGGGGGGATGGTGGTGGTAATGGGGAGATAAGGACATATATGTAACACCTTAATCAATAAAGAAATTTAAAAAAAGTTATATGGATGGCTAATAAAAGAAAATATGCTTAATACTATTCATCAGGAAGACACAAATTAAACCCTAATGAAATACTGTACCTTGTAGAATGGTTACCATTTATTTTTTATTTATTTATTTATTTATTTTTAAAAATATATTTCATTGATTTTTTTACAGAGAGGAAGAGAGATAGAGAGCTAGAAACCGATGAGAGAGAAACATTGACCAGCTGCCTCTTCCACAGCCCCTACCGGGGATGTGCCCGCAACCAATGTATATGCCCCTGACAGGAATCGAACCCGGGACCTTTCAGTCCGCAGACCGACGCTCTACCACTGAGCCAAACCGGTTTCGGCATGTTTACCATTTAAAAGACTAAGCATACCACGTGTTGGCAAGGATGTAAAGTAACTGGGTCTCTCATTCATTGCTGGTGGAAATGTAAAAATGGAATGAACACTTTGGAAAACAGTTTGGCAATTTCTTAAATAGTTAAGCATATATCTACCATCTGATGTAGCTATTCCATTCCTATGTATTTAGCCAAGAAAAATGAAAACATATGTCCAAACAAAGCACTGTACACAAATGTTCATGGCAGCTTTATTTTTAATAGCCAAAACTGGAAACAACCCAAATGTCCACCAACAGATGAATGGATAAACAATCTGTGGTAAATGCAGACAATGGAATGTAACTTAGCAATTAAATAACTATATTGATACATGCTACAACATGGATGAATCTCAAAATAATTATGCTAAGTGAAAGAAGCTATGTAAAAAAAGAATACAAACTTTATGACTTCATTCATATAAAATTCTAGAAAACATACATTAACCTAACATGACAGAAAGCACATCAGTGGTTGCCCAGGGATAGGGTTGGGGTGAGAAGAGAGAGAGAGAAGGAAGGAGTAAAATGGGGCATGAGAAAACTGTGGGGGATGATGGACATATATATTCAATATGATGATAGCTTCATATATTTATTTATTAATATATAAATGTAGAAATAGATATGAATAAATGAGAAATAAGCAATCAATAATTATAATTGAAAGATCTTGATGAATTATTAACAAATCTATTAGTAAATTCTTAAATGCATTTATAAATGAATTACTAAATATATATTTAGAGTTATATTTACATAAGTGTGTTTAACATATTATGTTCTTGAAGTACATTAAATTATTGTATGTAAACCATCAATAAGGTTGTTTTCAAAAGAAGGATACATTTAAAAAACAAAAGCAAATAGAGTGGGAATGGTTCTTTAAAAATATTTGCCAGTTATTTTTTATATCAAGGAGATAAACACATACATATACATACACCCACTCACACACTCAAAGGACATTAACACTAAGTTTAATAAAAGAAATAGCAGTGGCCATTAATGAAATGAAACATATATAATTTCACTAGAATTAAAGAAGTAAAAACTAAAATAAGACATCTCATTCCACCCACCAAATTATCAAAGTAGTAGAAAATATACATGGGGGGGGATATGGGCATAAGGATACATAATTGAAAGAATAGAATTGGTACAGTGTTTGACCCAGTAATATATTAATGGGAATTTACATGAGGCCATTTCTTTACTGTTTGTTTTGTTTTAGTAAAAGGCAGTTTGTTTTAGTATAAGCAGAGCATAGGAGAGATGCCACAGAGAAGATGGGAAATATGGCTTCTTTAACCTGTAAGTTTAGATTTTTTTTGAAGGCTTATGTTTTATCTGAAGTAGGTGTTAGGATTTCAGGTAATTTTTAAGTTTCCTTTTTTTTTTTTTTTTTTTTTTTTTTTTTTTGCTTATGTATATTACTCCAACAAAAATTTTATTTCCAGAAAATAATTTGATAATAGAAATCAACTTGCGCTAATTTCTTTTAACCAAATAATTCTCTATTGTAAACTATAACAGAATAATAAAAATTTATAAGAAATAACTTGAAAATAAAAAACTTTATAAAACAGCCAAAACCAGTTTGGCTCAGCGGAAAGAGCGACGGTCTGCGGACTGAAAGGTCCCGGGTTCGATTCCGGTCAAGGGCATGTACCTTGGTTCTGGGCACATCCCCAGTGGGGTGTGTGCAGGAGGCAGCTGGTCAATGTTTCTCTCTCATCGATGTTTCTAGCTCTCTATCCCTCTCCCTTCCTCTCTATAAAAAAAAAATCAATAAAATATTTAAAAAAAACTTTATAAAATAACATTTTATCCCAATTTTTAAAAAATATTTTCCCTTTTAGTACATTTTCCTTAGAAATATAATAAAAATTAATTATAGAAAAACAGAAAAGCCCAAATGGCATGGCTCAGAGGTTGAGTGTTGACCTATGAACCAAAATGTGATGGTTAGGTTCCCAGTCAGGACACAAGCCTGGGTTGCAGGCTCAATCCCCAGCAGGGGGCCTGCAGGAGGCAGCTGGTCAATGATTATCTATCGTTGATGTTTCAATTTCTCTCTTCTCCTTTCCTCTCTGAAATCCATAACAATATATTTAAAAAAAAAAAAAAAAGAAAAACCAGAATGAACCACTTATTCCCATTTTATAGGAAAAAGCTAAGTTATGGGTCTATATAGACAATACCTTTTGGTGTATGGCACAAAATACACTGTGTTGCTCAAATTCATTTTAGCATCAACCTTTTCTTCCCCTTTTGTAACTCCAGTCTTTTGTATGTATGGTGCACCTATGGAAAGAGAAGAAGAAAATACATAATTACAGGATCTAAATTGAAGTAGTAATAATCAATAACATGGTCATTTAAAATATTTACAAATGTAATATTACAAAGTTAAAATTTTACCTTTAGCTGTTTTGGATGACAAACGTAAAAGGTAAAATTTTCACAACAGACACAGAGGCTGTTCTTTCATAAGCAATACCAGAAAAACAAATGTGTCACCAGATTTCAGAATCTATATTGAGGCTTCCACTGGTTTGTTTGAGTCCAGGGAAACTCAATAGAGGCTACCAGCAGATAGGAGTAACCTGA